CGTCGACGACGACAACGACGGCGACGACGGCGACGACGGCGACGAGCGAAACCGAAAGCGAGAGAGAGAACGACAGCAGGGCTACGAAGGACACGAAGTAGGCCACGAAGGGCGACAGCGGGGACACGAAGGGAATGCGTATGGGGCCACGAAGAGCACGAACCAGCGGGGGCCACGAAGGGCAGATAATGCGGGGCCACAGAAGGCAACGACGGGGCCACTGAGGGTAGCAACCCGGCCACGTATGACAGCGAGGGGACCACGAAAGGCGACAGCGGGGCCACAAACGGCATGCACATGGGGCCACGACGGGCGCGAACGAGCGGGGGCGGCGAAGGGCGTACGTATGATGAGCCGCGGAAGGCAAGGACGGGGCCACTGAGGGCAGCAACGGGGCCACGAAAGGCAGCGAGGGGGCCACAAAGGGCGACAACGGGGACACGAAGGGCATGCATATGGGCCCACGACGAACGCGAACAAGCGGGGGCCACGAAGGGCATACATATATGGGGCCGCGAAGGGCAGCGAGGGGGTCACGACGGGCTGCAACGGGTCCACCAAGGGCAGCGAGGGCGCCACGAAGGGCTGCAACGGGGCCACGAAGGCAGCGAGGGGGCCACAAAGGGCTGCAACGGGGCCACGAAGGGCAGGGAGGGGGCCACGAAGGGCTGCATCGGGTCCTCCACGAGGGGCAGCGAGGGGGCCACGAAGAGCTGCTACAGGGCCACGAAGGGCAGCAAGGGAGCCACGAAGGGCTGCAACGGGGCCACGAAGGGCAGCGAAGAGGCCACGAAGGGCTGCAACGGGTCCTTCACGATGGGCAGCGAAGGGGCCACGAAGGGCTGCAACGGGGCCACGAAGGGCAGCGAGGGGGCCACGAAGGGCTGCAACGGGTCGACAAAACAGAGCGATGGGGGCCACGAATGGTTGCAACGGGTCCTTCACGATGGGCAGCGAAAGGGCCACGAAGGGCTGCTACGGGGCCACGAAGGGCAGCGAGATCCCGTTTCCTAAATAATCTGTGAGGGAGTCCTAAGTGTGAGCGGGACTCCTGGGTGCCTGGGTGTCAAGGGCGCGGCGCTTGAGCAAATTGCGGGAAATTCCATCGCAAGGGCGCTATTCTTCAGTAAATTGCACGCAAATCCCCAGCGAGAGCGCAACTCCAGAGCGCCGAGAGAGCGATACCTGAATAAATTGTAAGGAAGTCTCGGGCGGGAGCGGGGTCCGGGCTAAATTGTGAAGAAGTCTCACGCGGGAGCCGTTGTTGTTGTAACTCGGGGGCCAGGGGCCCAGTTCGAGCCTCAAGACATTCCCTGATACAAAACCTAGGTGCGAGCCCCAGGAGAGGAACTTGAATTGAAAAATACAATTTGCACCCGTGGGGGGAGGATCAACAATAACAGTTATTTGGAAATGAAATTTCAACGACGACCACAACAACAACAAAAACAACAACAACAACAACAACAACAACAACAACAACAACAACAACGACGACGACAACAACGACGACGACGACGACGACGACAGCAGCAGCAGCGGCAACCACAGCGGCAGCAACACAACAACAACCATCAGTTTAAGACTGTTCGAAGTTACCTGCTCGACTGTCCAATAACCTATTTCCCAAGCCCTCGATACCCGCCCTCTTCGTCTTCAATCGAACCCCTTTTGGGGGGTAGACCTTTCTTCCCTGCAGGCCGGCCCCCGGCAAGCGGCGGGGCGGCCGCGGACAGTCGGCCTGGCCAGCGGCAGCGCTGATCGGCGGGGCGGCCGCGGACCGTCGACCCGACCGCAAGAGGGACGGACAGGGGACCGACCGTGACGTCGACGACGACGACGTCGACGACGACGACGTCGACGACGACGACGCCGACGACGACGAGCGAAAGCAAGAGCGAAAGAGAACGACAGCAGGGCCACAAGGACACGAAGTAGGCCACGAAGGGCAACAGCGGGGACACGAAAGGAATGCGCATGGGGCCACGACGGGCGCGAACGAGCGGGGGCGGCGAAGGGCTGATAATGCGGGGCCACAGAAGGCAACCATGGAGCCGCTGAGGGTAGCAACTGGGCCACGTAGGACAGATGCATATGGGGCCACCACGGGCGCAAACGAACGGGGGCCACGAAGGGCAGCGAGGGGGCCACTGAGGGCAGCAACGGGGCCACTAAGGGCAGCGAGGGGGCCACGAAGGGCTGCAACGGGGCCACGAAGGGCAGCGAGGGGGCCACAAAGGGCTGCAACGGGGCCACGAAGGGCAGCGAGGGGGCCACGAAGGGCATACATATATGGGGCCACGAAGGGCAGCGAGGGGGCCACGAAGGGCTGCAACGGGTCCACAAAACAAAGCGAGGGGGCCACGAAGGGCTGCAACGGGGCCACGAAGGGCAGCGAGATCCCGATTCCTATGCAACCTGTGAGGGAGTCCTAAGCGTGAGCGCGACTCCTGGGCGCCTGGGTGTCGGGAGCGCGGCGTTTGAGGAAATTCCAGGAAAT